GGTTGGGGCGAATCTGTTCCTTGCCTCTTCCATCTTCCGGAGAGAGTCTGCATTCTTTGGCTTCTGTCTTTGTTACTCCTAGCTCTATGGTTCTCTTCATGTCGCCTTATCTTCGTTTGTCTTATTTTGTCCCTCTGCCTTGTAAAGCCCACCCATATACTCTCCTCATCTCAACTTTTTTTTTCTTTTCTTTTTTTTTTTAACTTAATTACATCTTCAGAGTTTTTGCCATATAAGATAACATTCCAAGTTTCCAGAAGCTAAGACCTGGAGACTCTCTGGGAGTCCTTTATTTAGCCTTCTACATGTTATCATCTCAGTGTACGTGTTCATTGGACTGCTGTGGCCCATCAAGGTCAACTTCTTCCACTTGTCCCCAGCTACCAGTCTGGCCACAGGGAGGTAGACAGCCTTTTATGATAGTGATTACCCACAAACCTGCCCTCCCAGGGCCAAACCTATCAGCTCCTCTGTAACCTATGTGTGTTAGTTCATGTTTTGTTGCTATTAACAAATGCCTGCAGCCAGGTGCTTTACAAATATAAGAGGTTCAGTTAGCCCACAGTTTTGGAGGTTGAAAGTCTAAGGTCAGATGGCTCCACTGATTTGTCCTCTGATGAGGGCCCCTTTGGCTACATCACAGTACGGAAGATAGCATCACATGGAAGTGCCTGTGAGAGGGAGACACTGCATGCAAGACAGCGCTAGAGGAGGAGGAGCCAGCCTTGCTCTTTCTTGTGGAAACTAATCAGGGTCCTTTCCAGAACTATGTTTAATCCCTCCCAAGTGCAGGACCCTCTCTCTAGGTCCTATGTGTTAAAGATTCCAGCATTTCTGAGTACCGCCGCACTGGGGACCAGGCTTCCTATACACACTCAAACAGTATCCAAACTATAGCACTGTGTGAAAGTTCCCTCCTGAACAGTAGACTACACCTACAGTTTCAGCTGTTCTCACGGCAAGTGGACTACAGGTGTAGCATGAGTGCACCCAGCTCCCTCATCCTCACCAGCAAAGGCACTTCTGGCATGTGGCCTAGCAATGGTGGCTCTTGCTCAAAACATATCTTTTAAGAATCAAATACTCATATGCATGAATTTCAAAACGCTTTGCACTAAAGCATCCTTCAATGCCATTTTCCACAAACTTTTTGGAGTATCCTCAGATTGCAATGTCCAGCATTATTTCATTATATTCTGAGAGGCACGAGCCTTGTGTCGCTCCCCCTCTTCACGGAGGAACGACACAGGACTCTGCGCTGTTCTTTTTTCTGCTCGGCCCTTCCTGGGTTTGCTGCTAGTTCTTCCCGGGTTGGCTACCGACCCTTCCACCTCCATGGAAGGGCGGGCCCCCCTGCCACTTTCCCCACTTCCGCGGGGGAGCAGCACACCGCCGGCCGGCTCTCTCGGGGGCTGCACAGGTGTTCCCTTTAGATGTTCCTGGTGCATGTTGTCTCTCTCCTCCTTTATAGTCCTCTTCCACCAATCCCAACTCGGCTGCCCACACGCCGAGTACGCTGCTCTCCTCCAATCAGGAGCAGGTGCTATAGTTTATTGGTCGAACTGGAGGCAGCTGTGTAGAAGCTGTTTACTCCTCTCCCAGCGCCATATTGTGGGAGAGCAGATGCATAGAATAAGTCTTAATTCGAGTAACTTAGTCTAGTCCGAGTTGCTCCCCACACCTTGACCTTTCACGTGAGCCTTGGCTTAAGCCCGCGTGTGCAGTGCTGTAAGGTTTGGTCGTAGCAGGCATGACTGCAGTTAGTTGATAGTAAACATGAGAAATGACATTTTTGAGTCAAAGTTTGTGAAAAACAGCTAAGGGACCTTGAGAGAAGTCAGTTCACACTGAGCTTCATTTCCCTCCTCTGTGGAAGGAAGCGTTTGCTTCATGATCTCCCAAGCCCCCTTTTCAGTTCTGCAGTTGTTCTGTTGTTTCTCCCTTTTCCGTTAGGAAGGAGAAAAGAACAGATGCCAGTGTAGTTACATTTTAGAGAAAATGACAAGGTTAAAAAATCTCAGGAATAAAGGCTCTGCTGAAGCTTGAGATGAATGGCTGTTCACTGGCATTAATGTGTGCTGCTGGGAAACCTTCCCTAGCAGCACGAGCCGGTCACATGTGAATGGCAGAGGCTGGGAAACCCAGAAGGGTTATCTAGCTGCTGGGTCCTCTGCCCCCCGCCCCCCAGTAAATACCTCCATCCTGTTTCCAGGTGTCTTACTGCATCTCCTAGCCATGTGGATTATGCTACAAGACAGGGACCTGCCTAAACCAACTGGAATCTTTACCTAGGACTTTTCATGCTGCAGCTGGGACAAAGAAGTGTTTTTTTCTTGTTGAGAGACACAAGGGGGGGATGAATGGGTGTTTCTGTTGTGAACATGGTTCTTGTGGAGTAGAGAAATAAGGCCTGGAGATATTTGGGGTGGAAGGAGGAGAAGAGTTGAGAGGAGGGAGGATGAGTATTGCATTCTTGCGTCCCTGAGACCAGCTCTGTCCATCGCTTGGTATGAAAAGCTACATAAGTTGTCAGGTCCCCTCACCCTTAAACTAATTAGAAATTCAGGTATTTGACATTTGAAACTAGGATAAATCTTAGCTAATCATGAAATGTTTGTGTGGAGAAAAGTAAATTATCATCTCTTTAGCTATGACGGTGGAAAGAAGTTGAAATGGTAAACCAGGTGATGGGCCATGGTGTCCAGGGTACACACTAGACAAGATAAAAGTCTCTGGTCTCCAGCGTACATGGAAAAGAGCGTACATGACTGTTGGACTGGAGATAAAAAGAAATCAAGAGAATTCAGTTTTTGACTGGGCTCAGTTAATAAAAGCATAGAAAGTTATGACAAAGGAATATGTGATGGATACATTGTCTTCCTTTGCTAAGAAAACTAATGAAATATCATAAAACAACACTACAAAAAATCAGGAAAATTCCTTTGTAATTTTATAATTGAAAAGCATAGGGATCATACCTACCTTTTGGATTTGGCACTCTGGTAAGAAACCATTTTGTATTTTATATACACAGGATGAGGTCTTAACCTACAAAATGGAAAATCTGTTGCTTTTGACAAGATACTCTGTGATAGATTTTTGTTATGAGATACCTTGCTGATGGGGTAGTAAGAATTTTTAAATTTAAAACTACATTTCCCTTAAAGCAAAAATATTCTCAAGGGCAAAAAAAAATTGAAAAAAGTATTCTATGGTAGCATTGAATGTATTAGAAAAAAATTAGGTACTTACATATTCTTAGCGACCTACTTTTATGAACAGATTTTTTTTTTTCTTTACTACATTGTGAGTTACTCTGGACAGTATTGAGTCTGATGGTATATAAAGAACCTTTAATGATCTTTCTCCTTTCAATTGCAGTTTCTCAGCCCACTATTACTTGTGGGTTCAAAATGGCTCATCCAAGTAATAGAATCCATTTAAAAGGCATTTACCCAGCAAAGTCTCCTGAGACTTGAGTTTGATTTCTACTCTCTTTGTACTTCCATAAGTGTTCAGCTTCAAGAGAAATAAACTATAGCACAGGTTGTTGTAGTACTTCAGTAAATTTAAGTTCTTTAAAAAGAGAATCCAATTTATAGCATGGTCTTTGTGCCTCAATTTGTCCTTTGTTTTAATTTGATGTCCTGTCATGTCTGTTTAAGGGCATACCCTTTCCCATGTCCTGAAAAGATTGAAAAAGTCCTAATTTTTATTAGCTGCATAATTATTCAGTTAGTTAAATTGACAGTTACAGGCCACATTGGAGAACTGCATAGCGTCTTAAGATCATGGCTACAGATACACCCAGCAAATCTTAAATAACATGAAATCTGTAACCTAGATACACTTATACTAACTTTGAAAGTGTTTTTCTGGAAAGGAAACTCGCTGTTGGTGAACAGTCTACTCATACATGTGTGGCCACTTGGCTGAAACCTATTAGGCAGAAGATAGGAATGTGGGACAGATCTGCCTCTGCTCTCCTGTGCTCCTGGGGCAACTTTCTGCACCTGCCTTTCCTCATTTAAAGACGAGGGGCTGGAAGATGTCGGAACCCCTTTTTGCTCTCTCATAGTAAATGAAGTCTTTGCTAAACCTTCAGGCTCTGATAGGTCCAAGTGCTTCAGCATCACTATAATGTTGTTAGACATGCGGTTACTTTTTTGCTCAATGTAATTGGCTGTTGTGTGCTTTGTACCTTAGAAATGCATTTGTGTTTTCTTTGTAACATCTTATTTTAAATTTAAAAAGTAGAGATGTGTAGTGGCTTTTGCTTGGGTAGCTATTGTAGTGCAGCAAGTTGACTACAAGGACTTGTGTGTAACGCTGGGATCCAGGAAGCTGTCTTCTGCGGCCCTGATGGTGTCTGTATTGTTAACAAGGTTCCCAAGTTTCCCATCTTCTCTACCCTCGTTACTGACTTAACTGCACTGCCGAGTTGTGGTGTTAGAACAATAAAGTCCACTCAAGTTACTGGTATAGAAATTTTAAAACTACTCCAAAATGCTTTTTCATACCTTTCCTCAGTCCCCTGCCATGTATTTTACTGATTAAGTTGTCATAAAAACAATAATATTTATTTCATTAATAAAAATGATATGAGTATGCCAGTGTCCACATTAGCAATATTACAAGACTGTAGAAATAGAATGTACAGCCTAATTTTGATTACATCCTAATATTTTGGTGTGGTGAAATGTAATATTTTACTGTGTGTCTTATTTATACAGACGTTTTTGGTTTTTTTTTGTATTTTTTTTTTTTAGCTTTGTGAAAATCTGTTTCATAAACACTGCTTAACTTACATTCATTTGCCTACCCTTTGTGGAGCCAGCAGGGTTACTGACACGGAGCTTCAGGCCCATCCTGCTACGATGGCCAGGCTATGAGGGAGTTGCTGCTGACTCACTCAAGTGGCTTGGGTCTGGTTCTTTGTTCAGTTCAAAATGTGGAGCAGAATGAAAATAATAACTCGATCGTATTTTCTCTCCTTGCAGGCTCTGTACAATTCGATCAAGAATGAGAAGCTTGAATGGGCAGTGTAAGTACTCCGGATTTCAGCCTTTTAATAGTGGACTACTCACTTTTTCTTACTGTCTTCCTTCATGCCCTGGAGGTGATGTTAGAGAGGGGTCAGATATGCACTGCCACCAAGAGTCTTACCGACTCTGTATAAAACCTCGGTGAACCCAGAGCATCTTGTGTTTGTCCCACCTCCCTCTATTCTGCCTTTCATCAGGTTGTGGAACCTGTAGGCAATTAATTTTCTTTTTATTATAGCCTTTTAAGAGTTGCATTCTGAAAGTCTCCTGATAAAATTTCATTATTCCAAAATACATTACAGATGGTTTTGGTACCATTTTTATTCTCTTCTGTCATCATCGATCATGGTTTTCTAGTCCTGTTCCCTGTAGTACTAACCATACTAGTACATTCTAAGAATTAAGCACAAAAAGAAACAATGTTCTGTGGGTTGATAACTGTGAGAAATGATGGATTAAATAATATTTTTTAACCTTCATAGTTTCTAGGCGCTTATACAATCCCGTTGTAATTGTCGGTCTCTTAAAATAGTATAGTTTATAATGTTTTCTGAATCTATTTATTGACAGCAAGATGTAATTTTCTTTGGGAAATATTACAGATAAATTATAACTATGTAAACCACCAATAACACTTTTGTTAAATTTTCACTAATCAATACAGCAGTTCAAATATGATTTTTAAAAACATCATTAGGAAAGAATCTTTACTAAATTTTTAATCAACTTATCAAGAAACTAGGTGAAATGCTTTTTATTTTCATTGGTACTACATGTAAATTTCATCTTTATTTTCATGGATATTAAGCATTCATCAGACTTTTTACCAGATGGTCTTACCATAGCATTCTACAGTGAGCTAATTCACAGAATCATAACTTGGGAGCTAAGTCTTGTTCTTTCATACATATGTAGAGGAAAGTGGTTTAGTAATAGACTGCATCTCTCAGTATGCTGGAATGAATAAGATGCCACCATTACCACTTACATTGTTTTCACTATTGTAGGGCCATAGGGCATTCTGTTAAATAGGGAGTCAAAGTTTAGGATTTTAATTTTGCATCGGTAGGTAACAGCCAGTGTGTGTCATATGTTTGATGTGATTCACTTAATTTTTTTAATTTTTTTTAACTTTTATGTAATGAATATAAATTTCCAAAGTACGCTTATGGATTGCAATCGCTTTCCCCCCCATAACGTTCCTCCCACCGCAACCCTCCCCTTTCCCACTCCCTCTCACCTTCCATTCACATCAAGATTCATTTTCGATTCTCTTTATATACAGAAGATCAGCTTAGCATACATTAAGTAAAGATTTCAACAGTTTGCTCCCACACAGAAACATAAAGTGAAAAATATCGTTTGAGTACTAGTTATAGCATTAAATCTCAATGTACAGCACACTAAGGACAAAGATCCTACATGAGGAGTAAGTGCGCAGTGACTCCTGTTTTTGACTTAACAAATTGACACTCTTGTTTATGGCATCAGTAATCACCCTAGGCTCCTGTCATGAGCTGCCAAGGCTATGGAAGCCCCCTGAGTTGCGATGTGATTCATTTAAAGACAATGTAGCATTTCAAGGAAAATCTTGTAAGATTGTTTGGAATTCATGGTCTAAAATCTAAATTAACCGTTTTTCTCTGGACTTAGCTCTTATGAATAAAACAGGTTTCCTAGAAAAATTGTGTAAATTACATATACATAGAATCTTACTGAAATGTTAAGGATATAGCCTGCCCTAAATAGAGTATGCATTTTAGAAAAAAATTAATAAAAATGAAATACTTAGGAACATATTCACACTGAGAGAGAGAATATTTGGAAGGTTCTTTGTAAAATTATTTTACAAAGCCAATAAATATACTCCTGAAAATCTCTTTTGTAAATCCAGATGTTTGTAACATATATGTTATAGCTTTACTTATATATCCTGGTAGTGGGAATTTGGTACAAGAAAGCTTTATCTCATTGCTATCCATGGGTGGGGTGGAAGTTTACCAAGAATAGGATTCCTGGTGTTCCTCCTGTGGTTTGAGTGGAGTAGCTCAGATTACAGGAGGCAGACTGAAGTCAGGTGGGTTTGGATTTGAATTCCAGCTCTGTCAGGCACTGGCTGGGGCACTGGCAAGTTAGCTTGGAGACCTCAGTTTCCTATTCTGTAAGATAGGTAACACTGCGATTCATTGTCGAACAGAAAATGTAAAGGAATTTATCCTTCCATTCGTAATGAATGCTGTAAGTTTGGTTTTTGTTTTGTTTTGTTTTGTTTTGTTTTGTTTTGTTTTGTTTTTTGACAGGCAGAGTTAGACAGAGAGACAGAGAGAAAGGTCTTCCTTCTGTTGGTTAACTCCCCAAATGGCTGCCCTGGCTGGCGCACTGTGACCGGTGCGCTGCACCGATCTGAAGCCAGGTGCTTCCTCCTGGTCTCCCATGGGGTGCAGGGCCCAAGCACTTGGGCCATCCTCCACTGCCTTCCCAGGCCACAGCAGAGAGCTGGACTGGAAGAGGAGCAACCGGGACTAGAACTCGGGGTCCCGATGCTGCAGGCGGAGGATTAGCCTAGTAAGCTGCATTGCTGGCCAGTTTTTTTTTTTTTTAACCAAGATTTTTGGTGTATTTTTTTGTCTTTTTCCTTTTTAATCTCTGTCATCTATATGCTTATTCAAATACTAAAGCATCTACCACATTCTATCAAGAATAAGAAAAGGGCTCTATAGTAGTTTGTATTATAATTAACGTTTTCACCTACAAATGAAGGGATTGGATGGAATGATCATATATCCCTCCCATTGCTAGTATTCTGTAGATTTCTGAATTTTAGTATGTATCAGTGCTTCCTAAACTGATTTCCTGTAGAAAGAGCACTTCTGTATCCAGCAGGTGTGAAGCAAAAACGGTTTATGGGTCAAATGAGTCTCAGAATAAATTCTGGGTTCAAAGAAAAAGTTAGATTTCTCTATTACCAGCTTATTCAGTCTTTAGCATATTTGATGTACATTTTGAATTTCTACTGGAAACAAGGGACCAATATTCTAACTTTTTAAATCACTGTCTTTCTTTCTCTAACTCTGACTTTCAAATACATAAATCTGTGAATAATTAACTAATGAATGAATTAATTGAAGGGGGCTGGCTTTGTGATGCAGCAGATAAAGCCACTGCCTGTGATGCTGGCATCCACTTATGGGCGCAGGTTTGAGTCCAGTTCAATCCAGCTCCCTGCTAATGTGCCAGGGAAAAGCAGTGATAGATGGCCCAAGTGTTTGGGCCCCTCCCACACGCATGGGAGACCTGGAAGAAGCTCCTGGTCCCTGGATTCGGTCTGGCCCAGCCCTGACGGTTAGGTCATCTGGGTTAACTAGCAGATGGAAGATCTCTCTCTCTCTCTTTCTGTCTCTGTCTCTTTCTCTGTAACTCTCCCTTTCAAATAAATACATAAATCTGTTTAAAATGAATAAATAACAAGAAAGCAAATAAGCCACTGAGCCCCACTTTGATCATAAAGCACTTTTTTTTTTTTTTTGACAGGCAGAGTGGACAGTGAGAGAGACAGAGAGAGAAAGGTCTTCCTTTTTGGCCGTTGGTTCACCCTCCAACGTCTGCTAAAACCGGAGTTGTCTAGCAAACACGGCTGTGTAATTTGTGTCTCCCTTTAGATCAGGAACTAAGGTTTCTCCTTGATAAAAGGCGCATGGGGATGGATGCAATGTTAATGATGCTGTGCTTTCTGGGCTCTCCTATTACCCATTAGTGTTGGTACCGCCCTAGGACAACACTTAGAATTGTCTTCTCCAATATGGTCTTTTTCTCAGTAATTCCATTCATTTTAAACCTTCCTGTGCTCTCTCTGTAAAAATTCTTCCTAGATGTATAGATCGCTCTAACCTCTTCCCCAAGGTTTAATCCAGCGTGTGCATTTTTCTTTAGGACATTTCTGTTAGCACTTAGCACTCATCGTCTGTCTTTCAGCTTTGTTAGTGTTCTGTTTCTGCTAATGACAGCTCATCTGGATTTGAGCTTCTGCAGAATCTTGGACTTCTCCCGTGCCCCCACTGTTCTGCTGCAGACAAAACTCCTCCCCACTCGCGATGCCATGCGTACTGTTTTTTCTTCAGGGACTCATACCTTTCTTGCTTCCTAATATATGCCTCTATCTCCGGGTTCTTTATTGAAAAATTCCTGTGCTGTGAAACGTCTACTGGGCCCTTGGGTATTGTGCTGGTAATCTGTTTTATTCCCCATTACCACCTTCACACAGCAATCCTTTCTCTTTTAAAAAAGATTTATTTATTTATTTATTTATTATGCGAAAGGCAGAGCATTAGAGAAAGAGGGGAAGAGATTGGGGGTGGAGAAGAGGGAGAAAGAAGTAGAGAGAGAGAGAGAGAGAGAGAGAGATCTTCCATCCACTGGTTCACTCCCCAAATGAACACAACAGCCAGGGCTGGGTCAGACTGTAGCCAGCGGCCTGGAACTCCATCCAGTTTTCCCACATGGGTAGCAGGGGTTCAAGTACTTGGGCCATCTTCCACTGCCTTTCCACACTCATTAGTAGGAAATTGAAGCACAGAATAGCCTGGACTCAAACCAGCACTGTGTTATGGGGATGCTGGCGTCATAGGCAGAGGCTTACCCCTCTGCACCACACACCAGCCCCGGCACAGCCCTCATCTCAGCTGGGCTGCCACTAGTACAGATCCCTACTTTTTTTCCATGGCTTCCTCCATTTTTGCAGTGTCCATGAGATGACTGCCATGTGCTTGGAACGTATGCCTTACCATCCCTTTGGGGTCAAAGCCTCCCACCCTTTGCAGCCCAGTTCATTTAAATACCTGCTCCTGGGATTTTTTATCTCATCAACCAAAACTAATCTCAGCCCTCCAACATCCATTTTACTTTATCTTATGACACCATTGGTTTCTACTTCCCCGACAATGATTTGTAGTAATGGGCTATCTAGGCTCTTTAAAGAAATGATTAGTTCTGGATTTGCCCC